TCCCTGGGCTGGATTTACAAGAACGTGCCAATATCTGTCACCTATGTTGGACAGTGTGTCCCCAGCCTGAACCAACAGAAAAATGCCAACACCACAGTGAGACATGGAGGGCATGAAGGAGGAGAAAAAGGACAAGGCACGCCCAATTTCCTCCATCTTGTCCCCTTTGGACCCCTCATCTAGAATCCTAAAATTTTACTTTTGCACCCGTGCCACACTTAATTATTACTGCTATCAAACACTCAGAGCTGGTAATTGATCCTGTAAGATTGAAAACTCTTTTCCATGGCCAGAGATCACAGCCAGTGTCTCTGGGGCTCTGTCCAGGGGGTTCCTGAGCCCTGCCAGGGTCCCAGGGCAGCCAGAGGGATGTCCTGGATTCCCACACTGTCCCAGGCTGGTTCTCCCAGGGCCAGGCTGGAGCCCCCTGGCACAGTGGGAGGTGTCCCTGCCATGGCAGGGGTGGCACTGGGTGGGCTTTGAGCTCTCTCCCAACCAAACCAGTCTGGGATTCCAAATGCTCCAGCTCTGGAGGAACCCAGGAGCTCTGCCCAGCTCCAGCAGAGGAGGGGAGCTGGGTTTGTGTGTGAGCCCCTCCTGTTTGCCCTGACCTTTGGAGCAGCCCCTGCAGGGCTCAGGTTTCTGTCCCAGCCTGGCACAGCGTTCCCCTGCTCCCGGCCCTGCGTGCTGGGCACATTCCTTGGAAAAGCTGTGGGCACAGCAATTCCCCAGGGGCAGGAAATGCTGGGGCAGGGACATGCACTCCTCAGATCTGGTGCCACTAAAAACTCACTTCCTGCAGTAAAGAGTAAGAGATTCCCCCTGCAGATCCATGGATTCTCCAAGCGTTGTACCACCCAGCCTTGGGCACTGCCAGGGATCCAGGGGCAGCCCCAGCTGCTCTGGGAATTCCATCCCAGGGAACAATTCCCAATTCCCAATCTCCCACCCATCCCTGCCCTCTGTCAGTGAAGCCATTCCCTTGTCCTGTCCCTCCCTGCCTTGTCCCCAGCCCCTCTCCAGCTCTCCTGGAGCCCCTCTAGATGAAAAAATGAATTTTCCCAGCAGGAAACTCCAACAGGCACTGCTGGAGCTGCTGTGAGCCCAAACCCCTCATCCCTGGGATAACAAGGAGCTGTGTCACCCAGACAAAAACTGAGCCCAAACTCCCTGCACTTCTCCCTCACAATATTCAAAACCTGCACCGTGAAAAGCCCAACAAAAAGCAATTTCTTTTTATCCAGTAATGAATGCAGCTCTGAGAGGACAGTTCAGGAGCTGCTGATTTCTCCAATTTTAGGATTTTTTTTTTGAGATTTAAAAAGGTGTAAAATTAAAAGATAAACCATTATCCTCTCATTAACTGGGGAAAGGCCACACTCAGCCTTCCCTGCCCCAGCCCCAAATCCCCTTTTGCCACTGGAGCTGTTGGATTCTCTGGATCCCTTCCCACCCTACACGCATTGACCTCCTTAGGAAAGTTCCAGTGCTTATTTTCCCAGCTGCTCAGCTTTGTTAATAAATGAGATGTTTGCAAAAAACAAACCAAAACAAACCAAGCCAAACCCTAAGATTTGAAAATTAAATTGCTGCGTTTGCCCATCTCCAAACAAACACAAGCTTTAATAGCCCTGCTAAGATTACTAAATCTCTTCTGCAGGGAGATTTACAACAACTAGGTCAGCTCCCAATAAATCTGTTTTCCTTCCCAGCTCCTGGCAAGGGCTCCGAGCTGCTGAAGCCATGGGATTTCTCCCAGGGCACCCTGGACTTCTCAGAACTGCCCAGATTTCAATTGGAGGTGCCAGAATTCTGCAGAATGTGGGGCTTCAGAGCCCTGGGCAGGGTTTCTGGGCTAGGAGGATCTGCCAGGAGAAGAAGTTGCTCCCTGGAGAAACAAGCCCTGAGTGGGAGAGGGCACGGCTCGGATTTCTAGGAAATGATCCCTGGTGGCCAGCAGGCAGCCCTGAGCCCGAGAGCCTCCCCCATCCCTGCACTTTCCCTTTGGGATCTCTCGTGTCCCAGCACTCCCAGCTCCTCCTTCTGTGCTAAAGGCACCAAAAACTCCTTTTCAACAAGTTTATCCCTTCACCACCTAAAGCAAAACGTGGCTGGTGACCCAGGCCAGGCTGGACACTGGGGCTGGAGCTCCTGGGACAGTGGAGGTGTCCCTGCCATGGCTGGGGTGGCACTGGGGGGGATTTGAGGTCCTTCCAGCCCAAACATTGCAGGATTTTCTGCTGTGACCTCAGGCAGGAGGGAGTTCCCTGCAGGGACGTGTGGTGACATCCTCGGGTGTGACAAAGCTGAGCAGGACCGGGGTGGTGGGGACAGAGATGCCCAAAGCCCAGAGCAGCTGCAGGCAGGGCTGCAGCTCTCCCCTGGGCCTGACTCAGAGCCTAAAAGGAGACAAAAGGATCAGAGCCAGAGCAGCCTCCCCTGGGCACCACCCTGCCATGGCAGGGCCACCTCCCGCTGTCCCAGGGGCTCCAAACCATCCTGGCCTGGGGCACGGGGGCAGCTGGACCTGGGCACCCTGTGCCAGGCCTGCCCACCCTCCCAGGGAAGGATTTATTTCTCATTTACCCACGGGAACCTGCAGAGGAGGATTCCCACCAGCTGCGCTTTGCCAGGAAAAGAGAGACCCACAGGAAAATTCCAGTGCCTTTCCTGCAGCCACGCACACCTGCACTTTTTCCTTTCTTGAAACACCTGGTGGAGCTGCCCCTGTCTCTTTTCCACAGAAAAGCCCTGTTTTTCCAGGCTTTGCCCTATTTCTTCCCCCAGGCTTCAGGCAGCGGGGTTGCCACGCAGCAGATCCCCGGATCCGCCTGGGCTGGCTGCCAAAGGCCAGCTCCAGTGGGATAATTAAACTCTGGACTGTCTTATTTACTCTCTCAGATCCAGGAATTGTGAGGCACCTGCTGAGTGAAAGGTGATTAAATCAGCACTGCTGAAGCAGGGCTGGGGATCTGCTGGAAATCCCAGCAGCTCTGCCCAGAACCAGCTCCCAGTTTGCTCCAGTTACCCCAAGCCAGCTCATACTGGAGCAGCAAAGCCTGGCTGACAGCAGGATAAACCCTCAAAGGTGTCTTGCAGCTGTTTCTTTTGAAATCAAACAGATTTTGAGGTGAATAAATCAAAACTTGGATCAAGAGAGCAGGTTGGGCAAAACACAAACCATCACCAGTGACAACGACAGCACCCACCTGTGTAATCACCCCTGGCTGGTTTTCCAGCCCCTGCTTGGTTTTTCCAGAGCTGCCAGCAGGGATTTAAGATTACAGCTACCCTAGAAATGAAGGTTGCAAAGGTCTCTCCCTTTCCAGAGCCACTGGAGCCCTGCTGGGGAGGATGGATGTGCCAAACTCCCAAGGAAAAGGCAGGAAGAGGACACGGGGTGCTCCCAACATCCCCACTGACACCCACACCCAATGTGGGTGCCCTGCACACCCATGGGGTGGGAGGGAGCCCCAGGAGTCACTGCTGCTGCAGGGGATCCGTGCTGGAGCAGCTCCAGCCTGGAAATGTTGGGATGCTGCTGCCTGATAAACCAGAAACAATCTCTGTGGCAGGCACATTCTTCTCTCTCTCAAGATTTTTTTCATAAAAGAACAAAGAAAGAAGAAAGAGAAAACAATTTTCTATTCCTGCTCCTCATTTTTCCCATGTGAAATGTGTTTAAAGAATTGTTTACCTGAAGTAATTACTTAATTGGTTAAGCCTAATGGCAAATCCAATCCATCTGTGTCTGGACTCTCGAGAGAGTCACAAGTTGTGAGCAAGTTAGATACAGTAGTTAGAAAAAGCTAGTATGTAGTTTTAATGTGTCCTTTAAATAGTATATTAATGTATCATAGTACAGTTATAATAAAAAATCATTCAGCCTTCTAAATTAAAGTCAAACATCATCATTTCTTCCCACCAAGTTCACCTGCACTTACAATAAATCTCCACCATGGGAATGATCCCAATTTTCTTAAATACACAGGAACAGGGGGAAAAGAGGGAAACAAGCAGCTGGAGAAGCTCAGAGCTGCTGCTCCCAGCTCATTCCCAGCCTTCAGCTGGAGTTGGAGGTTTCAGGAATTCCACAGGAGTGCTGCAGGTCTCCAAGTGACACCATTCCCTGCTGTTTGCTGGGAGACTTTGAGGCTGCCTCTGGTTTCTCACCACCACTGACACAGCCTTGCCTGCAAAACCATTCTGCTCCCTCCTCCTTCCCTGGCATGCTTTCATCCCACTGCCTTCAGCTGGCACCCTGCAAACTGTTTGGGAATAACACCAGCAAGCCCCAAACCCCAGCTCCAGCTGTCTCCTCGCCCCCCAGAGCTCACAGGAATAAAAGGAATAAAATTTTGCTCCTGCAAATGCAGGGATTTGTCGGGCAGGGAGGAGGAAGAGGGGATGCACAGAGTGGCACCAAGCTGAGGGAAATCCTCATGGAAACAGGGAAAAAGAGCCCCCACGGCCCCAGGAGGGGTGGCACGAGCAGGGGGTGATGCCAGAGCCCCACTGCAGGAGCAGGGCAGGGTGGGGTGAGGCTCCCACAGCCTCTGCAGGAGCCAGGGCTGGCTGGGATTTGAATGCTGGGGTTGGTTTTCCTACAGGGCACCCTGGGGAAGCTTTGTCATGACTTGCAGAACCTGAAAATGCTCCCAGTCCTAGCCAGGAGGCCACTGCTGGCAGGGAAGGTGGAGGCAGGAATAAACCACAGGGTTCTGAGCAGGCACCGGGGCACAGCCACAGCCACAACAATTCCACAGGAGCAGCACAAAGCCTCTGTGCAAAGCTGTGACCTTCCCCAGCTCTGAATGCTGATTTTTTAGGCCTCCAGTGGAAGATCTGTTGGAGGAACTTCAGTGTGCCTGGCTCTATTTTCAGCCAGGAGGAGAAGGGAAGGATGGGGGAAGGAGAGGGAAGGAGAGGGGAAGGAGAGGAAGGAACTCCAGCCCAATTCCAGCCCAATCCCAGCCCATCCCAGCCCATCCCAGCCGGGCAGAGCTGCTCCTGCCCCAGCCATGCTGCCAGCCTGGTTTTTCCAGCAGCCCAAGGCAAAGCCCAGGGCTCTGCTGGCCCAGTGTGGGGCCGTGCTGACACCCAGTGGAAGCACCAGAGCTGGAACCTTTTCCTTCTGCCAGAGAGAATGGAAAATGAAGCTGGGCAGCAGGAAAACACAGGGCTCCTGCCCTCAGGCAGCAGACAGAGCAGGGATTGGAGTAAAGCAGGGATTTGAGGTGCTTTTGGGTCGGTTCTCTTTTGATGGTGCTTTTGTCCCATCCCTAGAAGGGTCCAAGGCCAGCATGGAGCAGCCTGGGACAGTGGGAGATGGCCTTGCCCATGGCAGGGGTGGCACTGGGTGGGCTCCGAGGTCCCTCCCAACCCCAATTCTGGAATTTCACGATCCTGATTCCCCACACAGCGAGCAGAGAGACAAGTTGTGCAATATCCCACAGATTTCTGGGAGCACCCCGAGCCACTCCTGCCCTTTGCAGACTGAACACAACATCCACAGTGCAAACTTCCCAGGAAAAATGGCAACAGGGGTCACCCATGACCTCCCACCATGGGGAAGGAGAAGGATTTTTCCACACCTACCCCAAACCAAGCTGCGAGTAGCAGCTCCCTGGTGATGAGCAGCTAAGAAGGGCTGGATTTTTAAGCAGGACTGGATTTTTAAGCAGGACTCAGGCGAGATTGCACGAATATTTTATATAAGCTAGAAAAAGTTTAGGTTTGGGGAAAGAAAGCAAGATCCTCCCCCAGGGATCACAGCCTGGAAAAGGAAAGCTGCAGGATTGCAGTGGTTTTTGGGGAGAACGGGGCTGCTCTGGGATGCTCCACAGCTCAGGCAGCTCAGATTTCAAACCCAATTTTCCAGCAGAAAAGGTCCAGCAAGGCCCAGCTCTGCTGCCATCCCCCTCCTGGAGGAGGTGCAGCAGCCAGGGCTGGATGAGAACTGGGAATTCTGGCCAGGCAGATGCCCCTGGTTTGCACAGGGTGCCTGCCAGTGCAAACACAGAATAAAAGCCCCTTAAAGCACAGAACATCCATTTGTGATGTTCCCTCCTTCAGAGAATTTACACTTGAGAGTACTGAGAGATCCTACAGCAGAGATCTTTTTTTTAATTACAGATAATGCTGCCGGTGTTTTAATTGGGGATTAAAATCCTTAATGATGTGAAATGAAAGGAAACAGAGAACTCCCAAGATTTTCAATTGGACTTGGTGTTCTGGGTGTTTAATTAGGGCTGTGCTCCTCCATAACCTCCCCTTCCTAAGTCATTCCAGCACCATCCTGCTGATCAAACTGGGCTGCAGCTCCCTTTGATTTTCAAAGTCAGCCCCCACCGTGGGATTCTGTCAAACCCAATGTACATTTTGGGAGAGGAGCAGTGGAAAAACCTGCTTTGGCTTTCCTCTGCATTTCTCCCGACTTCACTTTTTATTCCTTTAGCACACACCAAAAGTGACTTTTAGATCAAGGTTACTTTGAAAAACATCTGAGCAGTGTTATTTTAAAGACACCAGCCTTGAAGCCCTACTGGAAAAGGCAACGACCTGCAGGGCAGCCTCTCCACAGAAGGTCCCTGCTCCTCCCCACAGGGAAAGAGGGGAAAACTCCACAGAGAAATCTGCAGAGAGACTTTCAGCTGCATGAAAATCAGGCTGCAAAGCAGGGGAGGGCTGTGCTGAAAGCTCCAGCCTGGCCCCAGGGGCTGTGACCTTCAGCAGATTCTTTGTCTGGCACAGATAAAGCCAGGGATGCTCTGGGGAGAGCCCCACGGGGCTCAGCTCCAGGAACTGGGAAGGTGGGAAGGATTTCACCACCTCCTTGGCTGCAGGAATTTCTCCAGGTGCCTGTTTTTAAGGATGGGGGGGGGAATATAGAATAATTTGCATTTTTTTAACGCAAAACACGTGTAGCACAGCAAAGACGGAAATGATGAAGATTTGCAGGCTGATAAAAATTTTCACCTCATCGGGGGAATAAACAAGGAAAAGATTAATTTCTGTAGGAAAAGCAGGTTTTTTTCTGTCCCCTAAATTCAACCCAAAAGCAGTCAGGCAGTTAAAAGAATGAGGTGAAAAGTCTCAGCAGTCCTGCCAAGGACTTTATATTTGTTCTGCTCCAGAATAAAATTAAATCATCAGGGTTTGGGACCTGTCGTGCTGCTTTGTATTTTGCAGGAAATAAAAGAACCAGCGTGGACTGGAAACTCACCTACATAGGCAGACTTGCTCCCTGTCCAGCTTGCCTTGATTTTATCGGTGTAATGATCCTGAAACAAGAATAAAATCAAAATTACAAGGATGTCACAGGGCAAGAAAGCCAAAGCCGGGGGTGGGGTTGGTACTTTTGGATTTTGTGGTTAATCACAAAAGCATTAATTTGAGATTGGAAAATCCACCTCAAACTTGGAGCAGCCTGGCATAGTGGAAGGTGTCCCTTCCCAGGGCAGGGGGTGGGATTGGATGGGATTTAAGGTCCCTTCCAAGCCAAAGCATTCCAGGATTATTTTGTCCCTGGAGCCTCGGAGCTGTCAGCCTCCAGTGATGTGTCCTCGCAGCTGGGTGTGAATCACTGCCTGAGCCAACCTGAGAGCTCTCATTCCCTGGGGAGGCCTTGCACACCCAGGAAGAAACCTGGAATTGTACCAGCCCTCAAATCTTGGAGCCCCTTTAGGCCCTGGCAGGGCTCTGAGCTCTCCCTGCAGCCTCCTCCTCTCCAGGGGAGCCCCCCCAGCCCTGTGGGGGTGATGGGAACCATCAGGTGATGGGAATTCTGTGGGAGCAGGGAGGGGATGCACAAGGAAAATCACCTTTCCCTTCACTCTGCTGCTGTGCTGCTGCACAATCCCTGCAGCTCACACACAGGTGTGCAAACAGGCACAGCTCAGGCTCCAACACCTCCCAGCCCAACGGGGGCTGGAATTCCCCCTCCTGGAATTCCCAGTGTGGAACTGGGATCAGAGGCACCTCCCAGCCCAGCAGGGGCTGAAATTCCCCCTCCCGGAATTCCCAGTGTGGAACTGGGATCAGAGGCACCTCCCAGCCCAACGGGGGCTGGAATTCCCCCTCCTGGAATTCCCAGTGTGGAACTGGGATCAGAGGCACCTCCCAGCCCAACAGGGGCTGGAATTCCCCCTCCTGGAATTCCCAGTGTGGAACTGGGATCAGAGGCACCTCCCAGCCCAATGGGGGCTGGCAATTCCCCCTCCTGGAATTCCCAGTGTGGAACTGGGATCAGAGGCACCTCCCAGCCCAGCAGGGGCTGGCAATTCCCCCTCCTGGAATTCCCAGTGAGGCTCCCAGTGTGGAACTGGGATCAGAGGCACTTCCTGAGCTGGCAGAGCCAGGGCACGGCCGGACCCGGGGCTGCCCCTGCCAGTTCAGCCTTTGGGATGGATCCAACCTGCTCTGCCAGGGGCTGGCACCAAGCCTGGCGCTGCTCCGTGCCCGGCCAAGGAGCCACCACAGCCCTGCCCTTCCCTCAGCCCAGGGGAGAGGGAGGGAAAAACCCACCTGGAATGGCCCAGGGGTGGTCCTGAGCCAGGCAGGCAGTGATCATTTACTTGCAGGGAATTTTGGAAGGCGTTTGAGACGGGACTTCTGAATTGGTTTTGATGATGGGGTTTATTTTTCTTCCACACAGGCAGGAAGGGTGAATTTGGCTCATATTGTTATGGTATGGTTTAGAAGGTCTCAAGACCCTTAGTTATATGACTTTTTAAGGAGTTATTGACTAATAAAACACTGTCAATGAGGGTTTTTATGTTTTTGACTCAATCTTTAAATATTTAGTCTTATGGATTCATGTTAGTGTGAGCTTTGTCAGCCAATCATGCTATGACACACAAACCTAGAGTGCTGCATTCTAAATTCCTTGTTTACTTCTGCAATTAATTATATTTTTTCTATACCTTGAACTCTAAAACTCTAAACATTCTTTTATTTAGCTTAACCTGTCTCTGCTTTAAACTACAAATCCACATTCTCGCTTCTAGCACCTCAGTTTGGGAGCCTTTTCCAAGGTTTCAGGTCAAATCCTGGGTTTAATTCTAAGCTTTGGCTTCCAGGCCCAAAGCTCTGGGAGCTCCCTACATTTCAGATTCCAGCAGGCAGCAGGGACAGTATTCCCATTATAATCCCATTCCACTTCCCCTGCTGGAAACAGGATCACACTTTTAACAAGTGCTGGTCACATCATTGTGTGGAGGAGGAAAATAAATTGTGTTAAGGACACTCTGCCTTGCCACAGTCCTTGTCCCCGTGCCAGGCTTGTCCTGTCCACATCCAGCAAGGAAACCAAAATAAATAAATGTGACACGTAACCTCCTCCACGGACGTGTGACTGCTGCAGAAAATCAAAGCTGGAATGGAAAAGCTGCTGCTCTGCTTATCTGTGCAACATCCCAACCTGCTCACACCCCCTGGGAACTGTCAGGGAAAAACAAGCAGAATTTTAAAATGGACTTGTGCATGCTGAGGGGGATGAAAACACAGCCAAAACAACCAGGAATGGTTTGGGTTGGGAGAGACCTTCAGGGATCAGGCAGCCCAAGCCCATCTTTAGTTCATCTGAGCAGTAATTCCAGCTCCTGGGGCCACCCTCCAGCCTGGAGCCACGCTGATATTCCTGCCTAATCAAAGCTCCTATCAAACCACTCAGAAAAACCCACAAACCCAGCACTGCTGGCATACTTTGAGGCTGGAGGAATGCACCCCCTGCAAAAGGCCCTGCTCGGGAAGGGATAAATCAGGGAAGGGCACTGGGCTGAGGAAATGCCACAGCTGGATGGGTCCCTGCCCCCTGGGCAAGGCTGGCAGCACCAGCCAGCTGCTCCTGCACTGCAGGAGCTCCAGTTCCAGCTGTGGGCTGAGGAATGCAGGCTGGGAATGAGGCTGGGAATGCAGGCTGGGAATGCAGGCTGGGAATGCAGGCTGGGAATGCAGGCTGGGAATGCAGGCTGGGAATGCAGGCTGGGAATTCAGGTTGGGAATGCAGCTGGGAATGCAGCTGGGAATGCAGGCTGGGAATGCAGCTGGGAATGCAGGCTGGGAATTCAGGCTGGGAATGCAGGCTGGGAATGCAGGCTGGGAATGCAGGCTGGGAATGCAGCTGGGGGTTCAGGCTGGGAATGCAGGCTGGGAATGCAGGCTGGGAATGCAGGCTGGGAATGCAGGCTGGGAATGCAGGCTGGGAATGCAGGCTGGGAATGCAGGCTGGGAATGCAGCTGGGAATGCAGGCTGGGAATGCAGGCTGGGAATGCAGGCTGCTCCCTTCCCAGCAGGACTGAGGTGGGTTTTTCCAGCTGCAAACACCCCGAGAGCCAGGCTGGAGAACAGCCCCTGCACAGAGCAGAGCTGGGGGCTGGCACTGCCCGTCAGAGCGGGGCAGGAGGGTTTGGATCACACATCCCACAGCACAGCGTGCCAAAAACTCCCCTGTCCCTGCACAGCAGCCTTGGGAAGGCACGGGAGAAGGGAAGGGAAAGGGGGAAAACAAAGGGGGAGCAAGGCTGGCTCCTGCCTGAGCTGAGCCCAGTGTTTGAACCGGGAGCTGATCCCAGCGGCCTCAGCTGCTGCAGCACAAATAATCCTCACAACACACTTCCATCCCCTTCCCTCCTCCCTCTGGAACTCCAGCACATGCCAAGACGCTGATACGGACACAGGAAGCTGAATATAAACACATTGCCTGTTTTACCAAATATTCCAAGGAACACAACTAAAAATACTCCAGGAACATCCCAAAGCTGTGATCCAGCCACGCTGCCTGGGGCTCCCAGGGAGCTGGGATTTGGGATTTGGGGCACACTGAACCCCAGGCCTCAGTTTTCATAGAATCTCAACTGGTTTGAGTGGGAAGAGACCTTAATGATTTTGTTCTGTTCCCCTGCCATGGCAAGGACACCTCCCACTGTCCCAGGAGCTCCAGCCCTGTCCAACCTGGCCCTGGGCACTGCCAGGATCCAGGGGCAGCCCCAGCTGTTCTGGGAATTCCATCCCAGGGAACAATTCCCAATTCCCAATGTCCCATCCACCCCTGCCCTCTGTCAGTGAAGCCATTCCCTGTGTGCTGTCCCTCCATCCCTGCCCAAAGTCTCTCTCCATCTTTCCTGCAGCTCCTTCAGGCCCTGCAAGGCCCCACCGAGCTCACCCCAAAGCTTCTCCTCTGCAGGTGAACAATCCCAGCTCTCCCAGCAGAGCTGCTCCATCCTGGTGCCTCCTCTGGATTCCCTCCAACAGCTCCTGGTCCTTCCTCTCCTGAGCATCCCAGAGCTGGTGGCATCTTCTTGTGACACCCCAGAAGATCCCGGGGTGGATCCTCTCCTCCCTGGTGACACCTGGCTGGAAGGGGCTCAGCAGCTCCACAGTAAGGAATGCTACATCCCCTGGGAATGCTGGATGTACCCCCACCACACTCCCACCCCCATGGTACCCCCACTGCTCCCCTCACCTCCCTGCAGCTACCTCCCTCCCTAAAATTCTGTGGAGAATCCCACCACACCCCTGAGGAGTTCTGTCACGGCCTCGGCTCTTTCTCATCAATCCTTGCAAAGCATGGAATGGAAGCCTTCTGCTTTTTTTTTTATCAATTATTTTTCTTTTTTTTCCATGTCATCAGTGCTGTCTCACCCTTCCAAACTCCCCCCAGGTGACTCCTGAGAGCAGAAATGATGTGGGACCAACTCTGAGTGCAGTGGGGAACACTGAAGTTTGGAAAAACAAACTCCAGCTGTGTAACAGTGCAAAATTCACCAAATAGCTGCACAATTCCATCAGTGCAGGAATCCCTGGAGCCACCACACATCTGCAGCTCCCCTTTCCCAGGAAAAAGCGAGTGCATGGCAATTTGCACCAACTGGGGGTGCTCCATGCCAATCCGTGGATTCCCATCGATTATTAATTATTCCATAATTCACTCCAACTCTGCTCAGGGGTATTCTGTGCCAGGAGCCAGCAGTCTCACCCTGCTCCCAGGGTTTGTGCAAGCACAGATGGAGCTGCAGCAGCTCAGTCCTGCCCAAAATGCAGCTCCGTGGCTCGGCCAGGGCTGTGCTGGTGCTTCCCTGGATAAGTGCAAACCTTTGGAAGCGATTCCCTCGGCCCCCCCTGCGGAGATCTGGGCTCTGGCAAAGGGGACAAAGGGAAAGGGCGGAGGGGGAGCGTTTCTGGGGCCGCAGCAGGGATTTCTGCAGCAATTTGGGTCTGCTTTCACAAGAGGGCTCGGTCACGCAGGGACACGGCGGATCTGTGTCCTGGGAAGGAGTGCCCTGTGATAAGGACATTTCCTTTTTATGATGTTTTTCATAGAGGTGCACAGAGAAAAATGAAAGAGAAAACAATTTCTATTTCTGCTCCTTGTTTTTCCTATGTAGAATGTGTTTGGAGAATTATTTCCCTGGAGTGATGCTTGGTTGGATTCTGGTGAGGATTGTTTGAGCCTATGGCCAATCCAACCCACCTGGGGACTCTCAGAGAGGGTCACCAGTTGTGTTAGAGTCAGAGAAAGTAATATGGAGTTTTAGTATCCTCCTTTTATATAATATATTAATATATTTTAACATAGTTATAATAAAGAAATCATTCAGCCTTCTGAATTGAGTCAGACATCCTCATTTCTCCCCACTGAGTTCACCTGCATTTACCATGGTGCCCTGCTCAGCATCTCCCACTCAGCATTCCAGCAGGGATCTGGAGCCACAGAAAAAGGAGGGAGAGGGATTTTTTAAACAGGCAGGGAGGGACAGGACACAGGGAATGGCTTCCCAGTGCCAGAGGGCAGGGATGGGTGGGATATTGGGAAATGGGAATTGTTCCCTGGCAGGGTGGACAGCCCTGGAATAGAATTCCCAGAGCAGCTGTGGCTGCCCCTGGATCCCTGGAATTGTCCAAGACCACTTGGACAGGGCTTGGAGCAGCCTGGGACAGTGGGAGGTGTCCCTGCCATGGAAGTGGAACAGAAAAAGATCTTTAAGGTCCCTTCCAACCCCAACCATTTGGGATTCCATAATTCTACAGTTCTACTGTGTCACTGCAGGCCCTACTACAGAGACCTCCACGTGAAACTGGAGTCCAGACTCAAATATTCCGAGTCTTTTTAGCAACGGAAACTAAAACCTTAAGAACTTTCAGTGCTTAAAAAGTCATCACATTATGTTTGAAATAAAAAAAATATCTAAAACCCTACAGCACAACTCGATAATTTGATTTAACACCAGCAAGACATGAGAGATCAGTTGTTCTGCTGCCTGGGAGCCCAAGAAGCTCCTTCAGGGCAAGAGGAGAATTTAATCTTTCAAGAAAAATTCCCCATTAGCTGGGTGATTATGGAATGAGCTCGCCCTCAGCATGAGAGCATCACTGCTCCTCTCTGGAATTGATTGCTCCTTGATAAGAGATATCCAAATGCTGTGGAAATACGGGATTGAGGAGTCATTAACTCCACACTAATCCCTCAAGCTCATTTAGTGGCACTGAGCAGCACAAAATCCTGTCCACTACTCACCTTTTACTCCCACAACTGTGCCAATTCAGAATTTCTGAACCAATTTACACCCCAGACAAACACACACAAGTAACGTGTCCCTGGCCCTGTTAAAACCCCAGAAAATCACCTGGCAAACTGCTGGGAATTCCATTTTGCCCCTTTCCAATTGCCACACTAATTAAATAACAGAATCACAGAATGCCCTGGGCTGCAAGGGACCCACGAGGATCATTAGGTGCAGCTCCTGGCCCCGCACAGGACAACCCCAAAATCTCACCCTGAAAGATCTGAAAGCATTCCCTGGGGATCTGTTCCGTGCCCACCACCCCCTGCAAGAAGAACCTTTCCCAAAATCCAACCTAAACCCCTCCTGACAGCTCCAGCTCCTTCATAAAAACACCAGGCTCAAATCACAACGTACACTCAAATCCCTCATCCCCCCCCCTCCCAAAAAAGCAAAGAATTTAAGCTCGCAATAGATAATCACAATTGTAAAGTTATTAAAGGAAATAAAAACTTCCAGAAGTTGGGCTTGATGATCCGTGTGGGTCCCTTCCAGCTCGGGATGTTCTGCAATTCCATGATTCCAAGCAAACCTATTACTGCAACAGGGCGTGTAATCTCAGTATCAAAACGAAACCTCCTGGAATAATGACGCTTCCCACTAATTAACCTCCTTCCCACACTCGGCCCACAGCTCCCCGCACGTGGGAAACTTCCTCCGCCGAGCAGAGCTCGCTGATTCCAAGGAAAAACCCGTGGCCTGGCGGCCGGGAATGCGAAAACAAGGAAAATGTAAAGGATTTTACATTTTAAAAGTAAAGGTGAAAGCTGGGGGCGGCCCCCGCGGAGTTGGAGCCGCCAGCTCCGGGTGTCCATCGGTGCCGTGGGGAAGGTCTGGAGGGAAGGAGAAGGGAAGGAAGAAAAAACTGCCTATTTTAGAATTATTTCTGCCTAATTAAGCAGATCATTTTTTACACAATGAAGCAGATTTTTTTTCCCTCATTCCACTTGTTGAACCACGTCGCACACCCGCGCGCTGCCTCCCGCCGGGAACCCTCCTCAGCCCAACCAAAAAATGGGTAAAAAACATAAAAAACTCCGAAAGGCGCCCCAAAAGCCGGCAGGCAGCGCTCGGGCCCGGCCCGGCGGCAGAAGGGGCCGGGCTGGGCTCCTGGCCCGGGATCCCGGGACCCACCGAGCGCCGCTCCCGGGAAACCCCGGGATCCCGGGACCCACCGAGCGCCGCTCCCGGGGAACCCCCTGTTCCCGGACCCCGGGATCCCGGGACCCACCGAGCGCCGCTCCCGGGAAACCCCGGGATCCCGGGACCCACCGAGCGCCGCTCCCGGGGAACCCCCTGTTCCCGGACCCCGGGATCCCGGTACCCACCGAGCGCCGCTCCCGGGGTCTCCACGGGCGACGGCAGCGGCAGCGGGGCCACGCCCACCGAACGGCCCACGCCCACCGAACGGGGCCACGCCCACCGAGCGGGGCCACGCCCACCGAGCGGGCCGTGTCCACGGGATTGAGCCACGCCCACTGATCGTAGCCACGCCCCGTTCCCGCCTGGCCACGCCCCTCTCCGGAGGGGCGTGGTGTGTGGTGGGCGTGGCCATGCCATTGTGGGCGTGGCCACGCGGTTCTCCCAAATCCATGCGGAATTCCACGGCCGAACCCGCTTCGTCCCGTTCCGGAGGGTGGATTCAGGCCGCTGGTGTTTGGGAAGGGGTTGGGTGGATAAAGCTGCGCCCGCGGCGTCGGAGCACACGCGGGGGTTCTGGGGGTGGTGGAGAATCCGGCGGGATTGGGGCATGGATAGCCTGGGGATTTTGGGATTAGGGGTTGTGGCGGGCGCCAGGGAGGGGCGGATGGGGTATTTGCAAAGGCTTGCCTGCCGCCCGAGCAGCCCGGCGTGCCTGTGCTTGCGGGGCTGTGATGCTGGGATCACCCGGGAATACATTTGTCTGCAGAGGCACGGAGGGTGTGGATGGAAATTTAAACGCGGGCTCCTGCCTGGAGCTGCAGGAGGGGAAGGGCTGGGAAATGAGGGAAGCTCTGGCACAGATTGTGCGGGGAACGTGTGGTTGCCCCTGGATCCCTGGAAGTGTCCAAGGCCAGGCTGGACAGGGCTTGGAGCAGCCTGGGAAGGTCCCTGCACACGGCAAGGCGTGGAATGGGATGCGATTTAAGATTCCCCTCAACTCCAGCCAGTGTGGGATTCTACAGAATTCCAGGAAAACAAAACTGGAGCAGAAGCTGGGCTCATGCCCGTCACCACCTCTGCCCAGAGCTCGTCCCCGCGGAGCATCCCTGTCCTGAGAGCAGCAGGAAAACCTCTCCTCGCCCTTTTCCGTGGTTTTGCCCGGTGCCAGCACAGGCGGGCTGTCGCTGTCCCGGGCACTGCCAGTCTGCCCCGGCTCCAGCCTGTCTCCAGAGCAGCTTTTATGGGAGAGGAGATGGGCTCAGCAGTCTGCCCGGCTCCTCTTGATTGCCATTCCACCTGGGAACGCAGGGATGCACAGGAGAACCTTGTCCTGAATTATGCCCCAGTGAAAAAAAACCCAAACAAAACCTTTAAACTGTTCAAAGGGAAGGAATTCCTCGTTGGATTCCTAATTAAAAGCACAGGAATCCGGTTTTCCCGAGTGTGGCCACCAGCCAGGCGGGAAGCGTTGCCCTCTCGTGGGCTGAAGCAGCTTCCCACCATTCCATCCTAACCGAGAGCTTAATTAACGTTAATTAACTATCTGGGAGTGCAGCACACCCAGGGGAGCAGCCCAGTCGAGCAGGAGCTCGTCGGGGTTCCCTGGAGCTTGGCAGGGATTCCCAGGAGCTTTGCTGGGGCTCCTGTCCCACTCTGGCCAGTTTGCCACGGGGCACACACTGGGAGGGCACCCTGGGCACGAACTGGGCACACCCTGCTTGCACTGGGGCTTGTGCTGTGCGTACTGGGAGCACTGGGACAGGCGCTGGACAACACTGGGAGGGTTCACTGGGCACCCTGGGCACGAACTGGGCACACCCTGCTTGCACTGGGGCTTGTGCTGTGCGTACTGGGAGCACTGGGACAGGCGCTGGACAACACTGGGAGGGCTCACTGGCTTGAACTTTGTATTTTCTCTTTTAAACATTTCTTTTCCTTTCCACCAGGAGCGGGAGAAAGGCTCAGCCAGAGGGGATCTCTTGTTTTTCCTTCCTTTTGCTCCCTCCCAGACATTCACCCAGTGGATGTCTCACCTTTGTCTGAAGGCAGGACTGAGTTCTTCAGATCCTGGTGATGCAAGCACGGGTTTCCCTTTCTCCTGCAAGCACAACTATAAGTGTAAATGTTTATTATTGTTATTAGTGTGTAGTAGTAGCCTAGATCAGGGCACTCACTCTTAGATTTTGGGAAGGAATTGTTCCCTATGAGGCCCTGGCACAGGATTCCCAGAGCAACTTTTGCTACTCCTGGAATGTCCAAGGCCAGGCTGGACAGGGCTTGGAGCAGCCTGGCACAGTGGGAGGTGTCCCTGCCATGGCAGGGGTGGCACTGGGTGGGCTTTGAGATCCCTCCCAACCCAACCCAGTCTGAGGTGGGATACTGGGAAGGCCTTGGAGCAACATCCAGGGTGGAATCCTGTCCCCCACACCATTTATCTCTGTGAGCTCTCGTTATTCCCTGCACAAGGAGGTTCAGAGTTCAGCCAAAGGCTGCCTGCAGACCTCAGCCTGGTCTGTTTGCAGCAGCTCTGCTCTCAGGGTGCACTTTGGTCAGAGGAAGCAAAGCCAGATTTCTTCTGCCTGTTTGACAGAGCTGCTCCTTCCCACCTTGGATGCTCCATGAGGGATTCACTGAATGAACTCAAGGGGCTTTCCCAGAGGGATCATGGAAATCTCTGATGCTGGAGGAAATGAGCCACGCTGCTCCTGGCCCCAGCAATCCTGGCAGAGCAGAAAATCTTAATTCTTGGACAAAATCATCAAGATTATACCATGTTCCCCCTCAAAATCAGTGATTTTTTTTGCAAACACCAGCCACCCTTCAGCATCCTCTTTCTTGGATGTAAAGACTTATTTTTTCCACTAAAAATTAATCAAATGAATCAACGTCTGGAATTTTGCCTGTGGGAATGAGTAATTTCTTACAGTTCATACAAATATTTCCCATTTTTGAGCCATATTCTGGCTCATCTTTCCAGATAATCACAAAACCAGCCGCTCTCCCCTGGTTCCAGCTTGGCCAGCTGGTAAAGCATCTGACAGCAGAAATGGCTAAAACAACCTAAGCATGAACATTTCCTTCTTTATTGATTTTCTTCCCTATTTTTGGGCTTCCTGTTGTTGAAATGACACATCAGAAGCACCCAGAGACAGACCTGTGTGCTGCAGCTCAGGTGTGCTCTTCCTCAGGGGCACACGGAGTGCATCCCGTTGTTCCCTCGGCTCCATATCAACCCCACCAGGTCCCCACGGGGCTGGACGTGGGTGCAGGCTGGGATCTGCTCCATCCCTGCTCCAGGGATGCTCCAAGCAGCCAGGAGGATGTGGGCAGCAGGATGTGGGCAGCCAGCGCTGGCAGAAGAAGCCTTTTCCTCACTCCCATCCCAGATGAGACCTTGGTCTTGATCCAAGGACTCCATGTGATGGATGGGTTTTTCCCTCCAAGGAGGGATTTTCACTGCCTGGGTGTGAGCTGCTCATCCTTCACCCACGGGCAGCCTGAGGCAAATAATGGCAGGCAGGGGTTGGAGGAAAACATGTGGGAACAAAGGAACACCGTAACGTAGGAGAGAAGAGTTTCCATAGCTCCATCCTTAGATATTTTTAGTCTGAAAGGCACAAATGCATCACTGAGCTGTGAAAGGAAAGCTCCCTGCTGCTCTCCATGTCAGAGGCTTCGGAGCAGCTCTGCCTGCTTTGAAGGAGGTGCCCGTGGGCACCTATATCCAGGTGTGGGAAAACCACGTGCCTTTAGCTGGAGTAGACATCACTGGCAGGGACACCTTCCCCTATCCCAGGCTGCTCCAACCCCCATCCAGCCTGGTCTTGAACACTGCCAGGATCCAGGGGCAGCCACAGCTTCTCTGGGCACCCTGTGCCAGGGTCTCGCCACCCTCAGAGGGAAGAATTTCCTTCCCAAAATCTCATCTAAACCTGCTCTTCTTCAGTTTAAGTGTAATCCCCCTCGTGAAAAGCCCCTCTCACTGCAAATCAGCTGCATTTGCCCTCTGCTCAAGGCTTGGAGTAAGGTCTCAGCACAGGCTGCCAAGCAGAGGTGGGCTCTGGTGGGACCCCACACCCCCTTCCCACCCAGACAGGAGCTGAGGGCAATGGGAGGAGCAGTTGGGGTTGGAAGACTCTGGTTCTGTGCTAATCCAGGAAAACACAATCATCCCTTTCCCTCTAATTTTCAGACTTGCTGGAAGTGTGAAGGAGACAAAGATGAGGATGGAGGCAGTCCCCCGAGGCAGACCCTGTTCCAGTGCCCAGCTGTGCCAGCGAGGTTCGGCTCTGCCACCATGGGACTGTGAGCAAACCCAACCGGGCCACGGCAATGCTGGGCTCCCCTCCTTCCTCTGCTCCTCCAATCCTTTTTGCATCATTCAATGTACTCCTGTCTAACAGGACTTTATGTCATCGTTTTTCCCCAAAGTGGGAAAAAAGGAAATAATTAGGGGTGGCAGGTCTAGCCTGGCACGCAGCAACACCATTAAGCAGGAGGCTGCTACGCTGGGTTGGTCTGGAGCCTCTTTAACATTTTCATTAGCTCTCCAAAGCTTTTGATGTCCCTTATTTACAACACAGACACTGCAGAGGAGGCAGGCAACGATTAAGACAAGCTTTTACTCTTCTGGAGTTCACTGGGTACCTCGTGGCTACGGACCCTGCATATAAAGCAATATTGCTTATTATTCCATGCTGTTTGTTCCATTAATCATGAGCCTGCTTTGCTCTGGGAAGAGGAATTGGAATACAGCAATATTCTGTCTGCTTGTTTTTAAAATACACGTGTGGGTGGACACTCCAGCTACTGCTCACATTTTTCTCTCACAAGAAGAGCTGTTCGTGATTCTCCTCCCCAGTGTTTTCTTCTGACACTGATTTTGTTCGTCGAACTCGGGAAGGGAACTGCCTCAAGCCTGTCAACAAGAGTTGTATGGAAATAAGGAGTACTAACTGAGAAATGCTTGAAATTCAGCATCCCAGAGAGGAAAAGGATTTCTTTTCCGTCATGGAAAGGCAGGTCAGGCTGGACATTGGAATGGGCTGCCCAGGGAGGTGGTGGAGTCCCCATCCAGGGAAGGTGACACTCAGTGCTCTGGGCTGGGTGACAGGAGGGGGATTGGGCACAGATTGGATTTCATGGTCTTGGAGGGTTTTTCCAACCTCAGTGATTCCACAATTCTGTGGTTCAGTTCAAAGTCACTCACTGCCCCCACAGTCTCAGCCTTCAGCAGCCACCCAGGCAACAGCAGGTCTGGGGATTCCTTCAGGATATCCCAGAAGGAATTTTCAGAGTGTTCAACTCATCCCGAGAAGACACTATGGAGGCGTTAAAAGCAACTCAACAAGTTGTGTCAGCATCTTTTATGACCTTGTCTCACCACATGTAACCTCATGAAGAACGTTCCAGAAAACCAGAGAGTTCTGGGGTGGAACAAAATGAAGAAGAGAATAAAACAACCAACTTGAGAATTATTAGTGAGTTCCCATACAGCTCTCCAGGCACGGACAATGTGCCAGGGCATGCCTCCAAGGTGAAAGGTTTACAGGATGCATAAACAGCTCCATAAAAAACACGTTGTCACCAGCTCCTGGAAAAGCACTGCTGGAAACAGGAGGTAAGGCCAGAGCAGCTCCATCAGACAGCAGAGCTGCCTCTTCATTGCTGACAGATGGCTTCACCTGAATGTCCTTCATCAAAAAAAAAACAACTGAAAAGCTACAGGTCTGTTACTTTTCTAACCTGCACTTACTCAATCCTTCCAATCCTTCCAGTATATACCCTCACTCCAAAACACAGCAACCACTCCAATGAAATGGATTTCTCTTCCTATAAGAACGATAGATTGCACACACAAAAGCCAGGTTATTTCAGTTCATACGGAAACAGCCAATTATGTAATTTATTTATTAATACAGTTTTGATTTACAGTACAATTGAGATGCACACTCAAGACATGGATTATTTACAGAGCATGAAAAGCAGCCACAGCAGGTGTCCCTTTTTCCCCAGATGGTTTGGATTTCTAAATTGGGGCACCCCCAGGAGCACCCCAGCATCTCCATTGCCACACAGTCTTGATCTCATGGCAACCAAAGAAGCTTTGAATCATGGAATTGTTTAGGTTGAAAAAGTCCACTTAGACGATCCACTTGAATCATTCCCCCAACACTGCCAAGGCCACCCCTGCCCCATGTCCCCAAGTGCCACATCCACAGGGATTTTAAATCCTTCCAGGGATGGGGACTCCACCCCTGCCCCGGGCAGCCCCTTCCAATGTCTAACCACGTTTTCCATGGGGAAATTCCTGCTGGAGTCCCCCTGAGCTGCCCTGGCCCAGCCCGGGGCCGTTCCCTCTCCTCCTGTCCCTGTTCCTGGAGCAGAGCCCGACCCCCCGGCTGTCCCCTCCTGGCAGGAGCTGTGAGAGCCACAAGGGCCCTGAGCCTCCTTTGCTCCAGGCTGAGCCCCCTCAGCTCCTCAGGGATTCTCCAGCCCCCTCAGCTCCTCAGGGATTCTCCAGCCCCCTCAGCTCCTCAGGGATTCTCCATTCCCTTCCCGGCTCCCTCAGGGATTCTCCAGCCCCTTCCCGGCTCCTCAGGGATTCTCCGGCCCCCTCAGCTCCCTCAGGGATTCTCCGGCCCCTTCCCAGCTCCCTCAGGGATTCTCCGGGGTGCAGGAATGCCTGTGCCTGTTGTGTTCCAATGGGTTGTTGCTCTGACAGGTCCCAGCCCTCAGAGACCTCCACACCCCGCACAGGGAACACACAGCAGTGCTAATGACACATTCCAGAACATCCTGGCTGTGTGAGTAATTGCAGATCCTTTGCACAGGCATCTCCATGAAGGCAGTGGGAGTTGTAGAGACATTATTAGGTCTCCTGACATTTTAAAAAGGCTTAGACAGAAAAACGTCTTTGAGGGGTTTCAAAGGCTGCAATGGAACTGAAATAGTTTTTGTAATAATCCCAAACAACCCACGAGGAGCTTTGTGTAACTGCTTGGACATGAGAGAGCAGAGACAGAAAATCCATGCACAAAGGCAGAGAGGAGAAAGGAAGAGTTATGTCCAAGCAAAGCTATCAGGGCTGCTCCCACGGCCCCCTGGCCACCCCAGGAGAGGTCACACACAGGGGACGACACCAGCCAGCACCACAGGTCCACCACTGGGAGCCTGGGGGGGTCCCTTCTCCAATAGGGAAAATCAGGAGCAGATCCTCTGGGCTGATTTTGGCAAGTGAGCATTACCTTTTGGGCAGCTCCAAACACTCCTGCAGAAGTTGGGTTTGTTTCTGAAATCATAAGTGATACGTTTGTCTGCTGAATCAAATGGTGTGAGGGCTCCAGATGAAACTGGGGCAAACTCCCCTGGCTCCATCTGACCCCATGAGTGTGTAGGGACAGCCTCAGGAGACTGGAAAAACAGCTCAGGGACAGCACAGGAGACAGGGGAGCACCAGGTAATTCAAATGTCATGTATTCACACGGGTGCAAATCTCATGGGTTTGCCTATTAGCCTGCAACATGAACAAAGAGGTCTGGGAGAAAAGGCCCTTCTACAGCACCTTCCATTGAGAGCCAGACTGGTTTGGGTTGGGAAGGACCTTAAAGCCCATCCAGTGCCACCCCTGCCATGGGCAGGGACACCTTCTACTACCCCAGGTGCTCCAAGCCCTGTCCAGCCTGGCCTTGGACACTTCCAGGGACCCAGGGGCAGCCACAGCTTCTGTGGGAATTCCTGTGCCAAGGCCTGCCCACCCTCAGAGGGAGGAATTTCTTCCCAAAATCCCATCCATTCCTGCCCTCTGGCAGTGGGAAGAAATTCCCCCTTGTTGTGGCTCTCCAGGCCCCCATATTTCTCACAGGCTCCCCTCAGGTCATTCTCCACACAAATACATCCACAGAAAGAGCCTGAAAGCCTCCAGCACCTCCTGTTCTATATCGTGTTCACCTTCAGCAATGAAATCACTTCACCAGAAAAGTGCTATAAAAAGTAGCAATTCCTCTCCTCCCATGTCTCATGTGTCAAGACCACGTTGCTGTGTAAAAATCAAACCTACGGTGGAACACTGAAGTCTTGCAGTCTTCTGCTTCGGCTAAAGCACACCCACAATAGGAGACAGAATCATGGAATTATTTAGCTTTGAAAAGCCCTCTAAGACCACGGAGTTCAACTGCTCCCCAGCACTGACCCACATCCCCAAGTGCCACATCCACATAGCTTTTAAATCCCTCCCTTCATGCACATGAAGTGTCTGCCAAAAGTTCTCATCAGGGAGGGGTTTGCTTCCAGGTGTAGCTGCTCCTTCCCCGGGAAGTGTTACCTGAACTGACTCATCCCAGGTCTCAGCTGGTGACTTGGATGGATGGGGGGAAAAATAGATGTATGACAGAATTCCAGGAAGGCTGGGAAAAGGAGCTTCAGACAGCAAAACCAGGGTGATGGCTGGGCAAGGAGAAGATAACCAGCTTCTACATCAGTGGGCACTCAGAATCTCCCAGTTACCTTCATCAGGAGGCAGGTCCTGCTCAAGGACACCAAGGATCACTCCCGGCCTGGGAGTGAGGGCACGTGGGAGATCCTGCCTCAGTGAACAAAGTCGGGAATGAAAAAGTAAAGCAGGAATGAAAGTCTGATTTTATGCAGCTGTAATCACTCCCAGAACTGCACAAGTCTCAGGAGCTGCACAGCACACAGGAAAACTCCACTTCTGTCATGCAAAAACTGCAGCTTTGGTGGGCAAGCCAGTCTGTAAATCAAAAATTTAGGCAAGCAGAGCCACACACATGTTCATTTTTAGAGCAAATGCCTCACTTTGTTAGAGATTTGCTCTGGTCAATAGATTCCTGAAAACAATTTAACTCTACACATTATAGATGATTTCCTCTGAGTTAACAGGCTGGAGATATTTAAAAACTGGCATGTACTGACAAGATTAGAGAGGTTTGTTTTGACAGACATTTTTTCCTTCTGGAAGACTTATTGCATTAAAAACTTCTAGTCACAGGTAATTGCTAACATGGAACATTTATTGGCTTAAAAAAATAAACATGCAGAAGCCATCCTCCTTAAAAACAACACATACAATTACCCAGTGGGGATTTTAGAGGAAAGCAACCACCCTGCAAGGCGTGGATTCCTCCAAAATCTCCAGCAGAAATGTATTTTCTGTGGGAGTCCACACTCCAGCTGTGCCGTGCAGCAAGTCCAGCCAAAGGCAATCACATAACAGAGCATTTGCCTTGCAGTTTATCTTTCTTTTTCTGCTGTTTGGATTTCTTTCCATCCACCTGGAGACTGATAGTTCTCCTCTGCTCCAGATTCAAGAGCTCCTGGAAGAGCTCCTGCACGTTGTAGTTCATTTTGGCTGAGGTCTCCATGAAGGCACACTTCCACTTGCTGGCCAGCGCTTGCCCCTCGCTGGCATCCAGCTCCCTTTGCGTGTCGTCACTTTTGTTCCCCACCAACATAATCGGGATTTTCTGGATGTCGCCTTTGATCTGACAAATCTCATCGAAGATGGGGTGAAGATCCTCCATGGATTGCCTGCTGGTGACGGAGTACACCAAGATGAAGGCATGCCCTTTGGAGATGGAGAGCCGCTGCATGGCAGGGAACTGATGGCTGCCCGTGGTGTCCGTGATCTGCAGGGTGCAGATGCTCTTGTCACAGCTGATCACCTGCCGGTACGTATCCTCGATGGTGGGGATGTAGGTTTCCCTGAAAGTGCCCCTTACAAAGCGCAGGACCAGGGAGCTTTTGCCGACCCCCGCTGCTCCGAACACCACCACCCTGTAATCATTGCTCTGCTCAGGCATGTTGGCTGCGCCGAGACGCGAGAAGAGCTTTTCACACAAAAACCTCGAGTTCCACCAAGTTTACACACCCCTATGCAGAGGTGGGCTGTGGAGAGGGAGGGGGAAAGGGATGCGTTATTGAAATCAGCAATGAATACACCGCTCCCATCCTTTTCCCCTTG